TTTAAAATTCTGTGTTTAGGTTATCCAATATTCGGCAAAGGTATTAACATTTTCACTTATTTTTTTTTTATTCAAAAATAAATAAATTTATTTAACAACTTAGAAAAAAGTGTACATTTTAGGTTTATATACAGCATATATGAATTTGTGTTCATGGCTTCCAGTAATATAAAATATAATTTAATTTAATTTAATTACTAAAATGAACTTAATGATAAAATATTTATTTCGAAAAATTTTAGTTAGTCTCGCAGTGAATATACCAGTTAATATTTATTTGATAAATGTTAGAAAATATTGTTTCAAAAGTTTATAAATTTTGTTATAAACTTCAATTGTTATGTGTTTATGAAAAATTACTTAATGAAAAATTAAAATTTAATTGTGCCTCATAAATCAGCAATATTAGAAAAGTGTTGATACAGATGAATATATACGAAGATAGAGATGATTACATCATTTAAAGTAGTATAAGGTGGGTTATCAAGATTACCGATTTATGTTATGAAATTAGGCTTTTCTGCATTAAATTTAAACAAACATTTGCTGCTTCAAATATTTTTATATAGTAAATTCAAACAACATGAGAATTATAAATAGTATTTTTATAGTGTGGATATTATCATTTATGTATTGAATTATTTCTAAATGTAGCGCCCGCACAAAAATGATTTATGGAGCACAACACCTAAGCACGGATTTTATTAAATTCAAGACTTTATTTGTTTCACCCTGTATTTGATTTATACATACTTCAGAGGAATTTAAATATATAAATATATTAAATAAATATATTTTTGTATGCAAAAATATTATTATATTCTTATAATTCTTTGTATGCAAAAAACACTTGATTTTATATTTTAGGTATATGTATTTATATATATATTTATATTTTTATATATATTTATATATATATTTAATATGATCACCTACACGTATTGTTCTTTTTCACTAAAATTCTTGAATTTAAAAATTAGGAAATACATAACTAAAAATATATACACCATAAAAATACAATTTATAATTCTCATATTGTTCACATTATTTGTAGTATAAAATTATATTAAAACTAATAACATCTTATAATTATTTAATATAAAATGTAAGAACTTAGTAACATGTATGTGATATGTCTAGATCAGCATTATGATTCGGTGTAATTTTGTATAAATGATTTGTTAAAAAGGTCGAAATTATTCTCGTTAATCAACACATGTACATTTAAAAAAAAAAAAAAATAGATGATTTACTGACACTTTATTCTTAATACAGAAGTACTTTTTGATATTAAATTAATCTCGGTCATTCAAATCAAGAAAGTTCTTTTATTATTATTATTATTAATTAAAAAAAAAAATATAGATGATTTACTGAAACTTTACTCTTAATACAGAAGTACTTTTTGATATATTAATCTCGGTTATTCAAATCAAGAAAGTTCTTTTATTATCCCTTTCTATAATATTGTAGGGTTTTATGGAAATATTTAAAATAACATAAGAAGCTTCCTTATGTCCACAGACAACAAATATAATACTTTTGAACAAAAAAATTTCTCGAGGGAGAAGCTTAACTTTTAAATAAAATTTGTGATTGAAAGTGAATATAGTAAGCAATGTATGGCAAGGAAATTTTTCTGTTAAGGATTTATTTGTCTACTGTCAGCAGATGTATTTACCTGTCAATTAAACCTTTGCATCGCTGATTTCAATTTCTAAGCTCTACAAATATTTCTAATGGAATGTCAATGGTATTGGAAATGGAATTATTGCAACATTACCGCTTATGATAAGGAAAATAATGTTGTCATATTGCTTAAAAATTTGTATCTGCGCTATTTCAAAGGTGCCAAAATATTTGAGTTGTCAGCTTAACACCACATTGCAAAATATTTTTGCTTTGATAAGCTTCAGGATACATTTTTGTCGCTAAAATATACAAGGCAGGATGTGGTTACTTCATTTTGTAATCGCTTTACTGAGAGACAAATTAACTATTTTACAAAAAAACTTTTTAGAGATGGAAAGGATATTTTAATGTTTGTTCAGCAAAGGATGTAATTATTATAATAATTCAGATATGTTTAAATATACTAATTAACATAGAAATAAAATAGTTAAAATCGGAGTCAAATTGAAAATTCTAATAATTTAATGCAAAGGGATTCATAATCAAAATAAATACTCTAACCCACTATTTTGCGTGGACTAATTTATTTTCCCTGATAATTTTCTGAGAATTTTCAAACTTATGGATACGTGTTTAAAAAAGTGAATCAATGTATTAAATTAATTAGTTTAAGACTTTTATAATTTAATACCAGTTTCTTTCCTTGCTTTGTCAAACACGATTTTGTATCTTAACCACTTTTACTCAATAGTGTCTGGGATCATTTAGTTGATCCACTATAATAAGAGCTTCGTTGAATTCAGATAATAAACAATTTAAATGGATATTTTACTAAAAAATTCTTTAAAAATTTATCAGTCCATGAGAGATGTGTTTCTAATTTGCAGAAAATGTAGACAGAGAGGCTTCCAATCTACCCACTTAAAAAATAATTTTTATGATTAATTTTTGAGATACTCAAAAAACAGGAATTTTATTTATTTCCGGAAAACCGATAGTGTTTAAAGTAAAGAAAATACATCTTAAGAAGTTTGTTTACAAAAAATGATGTTTAAATATTTCTAATGCTTGATAAAATATTAAATTTTGACATTTGCTATTGTTGTTCTTACGTTCTCCTAACAATAGGAGCAGAAGTTTTGGAAGCACCTAAAACAATTACCCTACTCGGTAACTACCCTACTTCGTTATGAAAATAAGTCAGGAAAACCAAAAAGTTTGTGATATTAGGAAAAAAAATTACTATAGTTGACGTCATAACAATGAACCCATAAAAGCACCAATGTTAATTTACAGCCATATAGCCAATCAATGTTACACAAGCATTATCATTCAAAACTTAATATTATTTACATGCAAAATAATTTTTGATATTTCCTATTGAATGTCGCATTTTTTGCGACATTATTCTTTCATTTTATTAGTCAAGGTACCTACCGTCTTCCTTCCTTTTCTAATATTTTTCTTTTTTTAAAACTGATGGATGGCACTTTGGCTGTTTCGTCTTTTTTCCTCATTTTTAGTAATGTTATATTTCTTCGATTTAAGTTAAGCACCCAGTATATACTGGATAGAAGCGAAAGTGTGTACTTTGTAATTAATATGAATAAGTTAATGTACCAAAAAGAAAGATAACTACGCAGCATACCTATCTTCAGCCGATATATTAACAAAATGTTTTCGTAATAATATTTATAATACTGAAACTTTTAATATAGATGTTTATTGCAGAAAACTTTTGCCAAATAATTCTTTTTTTAAATTAACGCTAATACCTCCAACGACAATTTTTGATCACATACTCCTTCAAAGACATTGCATTATTCCTTAATTTCTTGAGTCATGGTAATGGACCCAGTTTTCATTTATAAGCAACGACGTGACGAACAAAGTCCTTTATATCCTTTTCTTTATTGTTTATTTTCTTCATATTTTTTTTTTATTATATTTTTTCCAATTTTTCAAATTCTTTAAATACTGTTCGCTGGCACTTAAGTATCTTTTTTTTGTCCTCATATTTAGTACTGTTAGCTGGTAATTTGGATGTTGTTTATTTCATTATATAATCTTAGCATAAATTAAGTATTAACTGCATAGTTAGGGAAAGCAAGTATATAGTTAGTTTACTTTGTATTTTTACAAATTGGGAGAAAAAGTAATTAATATTAAGAGTACATATCAATGTAACATAAAAATAATCATAAACAAACCTACAATACAATGAAGTTATTGTCAATGTTTGACTTAATTATTTCTGTAAATAATGTTGACTTTAGTATATATAATATAATTATTGTTGTCATAAGAAAATATAATATAGCCGGAGACCTATTGTTTCACCTCTAAGCACGGTAACCTACACTTATCCATATAAGAATAAAGGATGAAAATAACTAAATCAAATGCTTTCATATAAAAACATTATAAAACTACTTATAAAATGACTTAAATATTTTTTAAACAAAGAAATTGGTTGATTGCAGTGGCAGGCCATTACATACCTCAATTAGCTATTTTTCGCCGTTTTGCTACCATATTCCTCGCAAGAACCCTAGTATAGAAGAGTAGAGACTAAATCCATCCCGCCGAATTTAGGTAATTTAATAGGTCTAAACTATCAAAGCAGCATTTTCGTAAGAACCTGTATTAAAAACAGAAGTAGTCTTGAGATATTGTAATAAAAATAACTTGTTTGTTTTTGCCTATAGGGAATTCATTTAATTTAAAAATATTTACATGTTTCTGTCTATAACTGTTAAAATTCACTTAAAAACTAAAATAACGTTAAACGCAATTTACCTTCACCTCAAACCAAATTTTGGGTCTTTATCAACACTTTTCTGTTAAATAAATTTAAAACTATAAATGGAAGTGATTGCCAATCTCAATTTTACTCATCGCACACTTTTCCCGTAATATTTACAACATCCTTTCTATATAAAAAAAATTCCATTAGTTAATTACAGCGCATAGGTATGTGCTAGGGTCACCGCCGTGTCTGCCGTGGAATTCACGCAACTGAATTGAGTGCATTTAAGTGCCCACTGTGCTGGTTAGTTACTCGGTTGGCTGGTTGCTGGAGGGAGTATTCCCTTGTTCGCTTGACATGTAATTCTCTGCTCTACAATTTAGTTGTCAGTTCTAAAGCGTGAAAAGCTACTTGGCGCCAAGAGGTAAATTTTAAATGTTTTCGACATTGTCGACGTGGAAAGAGTTTCCTAGCAGGAGATTAAGTTCTTTTTGGAATTTTTGTTGCAAATGTATTTGATTGCAAAAAAATAATGTTTAGCTTAAGAAAATTTGTGTTATTTTGATTCAAACAAAAAATATTTTAAAATTAAAAATTTTAAATTTTATATTCTTTTCAGATTCAACTAGAAAATTACAAGATGTGCTGCAAGAGATTTGTGCACCAAATTCTACACCCAAATTCAATCCGGATGGGGTAAGTCGCACTGCTATTAGACATTTAATTTAAAATGTTGGGTCATAATTACCAGTTAAGCAGAATAATAGAATTCTAAAGTTTTGACCAATATTATTTGAAAATATTTTCGCTTGTTGCAAATCTTATTCTCTGTACTTCGCTTCGAATAAAACTCTCTAGCTTATTTTGCTCTAATGCATTTTCAGCGTTTCTTCCCCTCCTTAGTTCCAAAACTTTAGAAAAGCAAATTAACAATTTTACAACTTTCAGTTAAGGGAATTTCAGCATTTCACTTACTTAATGAAATTTTATCACCATTTTGTGCCGCCAATGTAAATGGACCGCAGCTAACGCAGTGCACGCGCAGTGGCTTAAAACTTTCGACCATTGGAAATTTGCTTAAAAATGTTCAATATTTTTAATAGCTGAAAAATGAGATTACAAACTTCAGAACAAAGTTATTCACAACAATGTCAATATTAAGGACATTGTCAATGGTTATTAAAATGTGGGTCAGTCACTACCAATCGCAGCTATGGAGACAATTTCATGCAGATTATAAATGAATTGTTGCTAAAGTAACTCAACAAATTTCAAAAGAATTGTTATTGATAAACTTTATTCATGTATTTATATATATATGTATGTGTATATATATCAATGTATATATATCAATGTATATAATTGATTACTTTCATCAGTGACGCATTTAAGTTATTTGTTTAATTTTACTTTTACCAAGAAAACGTTCTCATCATAACTTGTCATGGGATTCACACTCTTCCTTGAGTGCAAAAAGTTTGAGAAGTACTGGATTCGTATATGAAAAACAAAAACTAGTAGTTAGGTTATGTGGAGTAGTTTATTGAATACATCCGGAGCACAGTTTCTAGTCGCAAAATATTTTCACTTTTTGGTATATGCTCATTCAACTTCAATGTACTTATTTCAATGATTTCCCGATTAATCAATCTAATTCCTATATCTGGCAAATAAACTAGTAGATGGCATACAATTAGCTTTGTATTCTAAATAACTAATACTAGTATGCTCTTCACCGATTTTTGGTCACAAACTCTTTTAAAGCCAAAAAAATGAAATCGCATTTCTCTTTGATCTCTTGAGTCATGGTAGTAGACCCAGTTTTTAGTCTCAGTAACAAAAAATCGTAAACTCGTATTTAGGTTTTGTATAATAGTTTATGGATTGGGGGTTGATTCTTATTTGTAATTTGATTTCGTTTTTCAGTTTAATTTTACCTTCAGTAAACTCTTTTCAATTATTTTCCGACTAATTAATCTCTTCTTTATATCTAGCAAATTGACTAGAAGATGCTATATAATAAGCTATAACTAGCGACTAATTAATCTCTTCTTTATATCTAGCAAATAGACTAGATGTCATATAAGTAGCTTTGTATTCCAAATAACTAATACTAGTATTCTCTTAATCGATTTTTGGTCACGAACTCTTTTAAAGCCAAAAAATGAGATCGCATTTCTCTTTCATACCTTGTGTCATGGTAGTAGACCCAGTTTTTAATATATCGTGGCTAAACGACGAACAGAATCTTTTTTATCCCCTTTTAAGCATTTTTAATGTTTTTGAAATTGGTATGACAAAACTTGCTTAATAATGGTCACAGTGCATAAAGTAATATTCAGAACTTCTTAACCGACTTGGCCAATGAATTAATCTTCTATTTTTTGGTATTAATGATGTTTATGACTAGCTCAGCAAGATTTAAGACTTGTCCAATTACTTTTAAACAAACAATTGCACTTACTGACCATTGCTCTAATAAGAAATGCCTGAAACAGATTTTTATAAAATTAATATGTAAAACTTTCAGTATTTTTGAATTTCTTCCTAAACAGTATAATTGGCCCATAAAGATACATGCAGTGCACGTTAAAAAACACTAATATTAAACTAATATTAACAAAATCTATATCTACACGTCATGCTCTTGATTCTATTGTCTATATTCCCGATCTTGATCCTGATGATGACTCTTAATCGAAATATAGAATATGATAAAAAATATTTAACAATCGTTGTTTTTTAATTTTAACAAAAAGTGACTAATAGTTAGAAAAAAATATATATAAAAACCATTATTAAAAAAGCAGGAACACTATTTTGAAAATTATTTGGTCATAAAATAGTAAAAATTTGAATTGACATAATAATTTGTTTCTTTTGGTCCACAAGGATTTGTTACTTACAATCAGAGTTATTGGTGTGTAAATTAAAATCGTATGTGGCACACTTTGACAGCTTAAAATTGATAGGATGCTATCATTTACATTCATAGATATCTATCGATATGACTTAAACTTTAAGCAAAATTCACAAAATTTTCAATATATATGTGAGTTTTATTAAATATTATTTAATTAATATAAAATATGATTTAATTAACATATAAGAGTAAAATTTGTTCGACTTGCTTCGTTGAAGTCTTCCTTCTACTGCTTCTTCGTTGAAGGTATTGCCAAACCCACATATATGACACTATCATATATATATCATATGCAAAAATACTGCTAAATACCTTGGCATGATGCTAGATGCAAAATTGCGTTGGAAAGAACATGTCAAAATAAAAAAGAGAACAGCTTGATATTAAATGGAAGAAACTATATTGGGTTATGGGAAAGAAATCTCAACTCTCACTAGAAAACAAACTTTTACTATATAAACAGGTCCTTAGACCCGTTTGTAGTTATGGCATACAGGTTTGGGGCTACACAAATAAAACTAACCGTATGGGTATACAACGTTTCCAAAATAAGGTATTGAGGTGTATTGCTAAAGCGCCTTGGTATGTACGTAACTCGAATCTTCACCGGGAGCTCGACTTTGAATATGTAACGGACGTCATTACTAAGTTCGCAAATTCTCAAGCCTGCAGAGGCTATGTGTCTCTCTTATCCCATGCAATTAGATCGAAGATTAAAACGAACTCTACCCAACGAGCTTATTGGTATATGTTAGTTTGATTGTCAACTAGTTTTAGTATTATATTAACAAAAAAAAAAAAATATATATATATCATATATATGTACTGAATTTGCTTCCACCCAAATAAATACTAAAACTCACCTAACGAATTGAATTATAACAATCGATTTAAAGTAATTATTTAAAAAAAAGGAAACTAATGATCTGTGTTTAAGCTTTATATGTTGGATCTATATTGACTAAATTGTTAATAAATATATATAAGTAGCGTTAACTATCTAAAGTAAAACTTTTCCAATTTCAAACTAATTTCACGCAAGTGAATTATTGTAAAGCAACCACAACAAATGTTGGCTACCAATACTCTGAATATTACTTTCCATTAGTACGAGTTATACGAGTAGAGGAAAAAGAATATATAAAAATATATTAATAAATACTTGAGATAGATTTCACACACGTAAGCTATTTTAAGCCAAAATTACTTCCTTAATTTCTGTTGATTTCGTTTTAACCACTAAAGTCTGTGTGAGGATTGCTTTCAAAGCAATTAAATAAGCAGTGAAAGCGTAACTAAGCGTAAGCATTTCCTCAGAAGCTTAGCATACGCTAGAGTACGTACTTTCCCTATAAACAAAACCGAACTATGTAATTCAGGTAAGCTCAGACGTCAGCCCTGATTTCCGTTGAAACAAAATATTTGCACTTCAAGTGTGGAAAGGATTTAAGGCGAATCAAGGTTTCGCGTGAATTTGTGCCTAAGAAAACGATACCATAAATACAATATATACTAAGTATCAAACTCGGCAGTAAAGTTGCTAAACGTAAATGTTTTGCCTTTTTGTGAATTAAGTTAAGAAAAAAAAACTTTAAGTTTCGTAATTTCTGCTTTAAGCGCAAATGTGAAAATAAATGTATTCTCCGGAGTACGGAATTCTTCAAAACTGAATAATTTCGCTTATCAGAAACTATTTCACTATCTTACTATTTCGCTTGCTATTTCACTACACCACTTTAAAAGCAAAAAGCTTACTTGAACAAAACAAAAGAAAAAAAAAAAATTAAAAATAAAAATGAAAACTCAAACACTACTGGCATTTACTACTCTCTGCTACTCTGATATACCCTCACACGGCTATGGTTTTCTACTTTCGCAATCTGAAACTGAATTCCACTTCTGCTCACAGCTTCTTCATTACTAATGCATAACTTTTAAGATACTTTGTTTCCATTTCCACTCTTCTCTGGTTTAATTCTGTATAGAAACCACTTGGGTTTCCACTGCTTAAGAATCAAAGTAGAAAACAAATAGATACCAAAATATATGCAGTAGCTTGGAAATGGATGCTTAGATACGCTCTGAAGCGTTCACGGCAAATTTCTTCTAGATTTTGACCTTAATGCCGGCGCTTACTTATTACTTAAAGTATGGCATTAATAAAACATACGAGAATTTTTATATAGTTTGTTTGATACTCTGCCAACTTCTTTGAGAGTCTATTTAAGTGGTTGATACGTTATATTTGCCAAATTCAATAAATGCTTTGAAGTGCATTTGTGTTACACATGACAATTTGGGCACAACATGTCGTATGAGTGATTTTAAATAAAATAGACGAGGAAAATCAATGTCGTTATTGGAAAAATCACAATGCAAAATATTGATTGTATAAAAAAAAATCATAAAATAAGGTTATTAAAAGATAAATAATATAAATTATTGAAAATAATATTTAATAAAAGCATGGTTTTTATATCAGTTTCAATAATAAAGAAAATTTATTTAACTAAAATTCAGCATCTTGATAGGGTGGTTAGATAGGTTAGATAGTTAGATAAGATTAATGAAAGTGTGAACATTAAGACTTATACTGAAAAACAACTATTACTCATGTTGTTGAACTTTAAGTTACTTTTAGAAGGCAAGATACATTAGCCACACCTTTCAAAATAACTAGATACGTTTTGTTCGAATTAGTTGTGACGTTCCAAGTTCTGAGTTCTTTTTGAAGACAAATTTTTTACAAGTATATCTATTAAAATAAATTGCA